TTGTTCAGTTTCTCAAAGAGCACAACATAACTGGTACTCATCACTCCAGTAATCCGATGGCCAACTCTACTACCTCAAGCTCAAACTCAACTTCAGCCAATGCACCTTGGATGTTTGACACAGGAGCTTCACACCATCTAACATCAGATCGCTCCTCTCTTCATCATATTTCAGAATATAGTGGGACGGACGAGATTGTTCTTGGTGATGGTACAACTCTTCCTATTTCTCATACTGGTCACACAAATCTTTCTACCTCATCTCGCTCATTAAACTTATCTAATGTTCTTTGTGTTCCTACTCTTCGTCAAAACCTTATCTATGTGTCCAAACTATGTCGTACTAACAAAATATATGTTGAATTCTTTCCTTTGTATGTTCTTGTCAAGGATCTTCGTACGAGGGAGCCTATCATGCGGGGGGAGAATGAAAATGATGTCTACTATGCAAACTCACACTTGCTGCCACAACTCAACAACATCATCAAATCGTCTCCCCTTGATCTTCATCATGCATTGGGTCATCCATCTACTCGTATTTTTAAGTCCCTTGTTAAAGACTTAGGTCTTCATTTTCTTTCTCTGTCTAATTTACAATTCCATTGTTCTTCATGTTCAATTAATAAAATTCATTAACTTCCATTTGGCATAAACTCTTTTACTGCAACTAAACCACCACAACTTATTTACTCTGATGTTTGGGGGCCTGTTAAAAAGTCCTTTGATGGTTTTGCTTATTATGTAGTATTTGTTGATTATTATTCAAGATATATATGGCTATACCCTATTAAATATAAATCTGATGTCTCCAAAATTTTCCCACAGTTTTAAAATCCTAGTTGAAAAGTACTTTCACCAACCCATCATCTCCATGTTCACTAATAATTGCAGCGAATACCAAGCTCTTATTCCTTTGTTTCAGTCCATGGGAATCTCTCACTACACCACACCTCCTCACACTCCCAAACAAAATGGCATCGTTGAACGTCGCCACCGCCACATTGTTGAAACGGGCCTTGCTTTACTTCACTTTGCGAGCCTTCCCTTCTCTTTCTGGTCGCATGCATTCCAAATAGCAGTTCACCTCATAAATCGCTTGCCAACTCCCACCTTAAACTCTAAAAGTCCATTTGATGTCCTGTATGACCACCCTCCTAACTACACAAAGCTCAAGCCTTTTGGTTGTTTTTGCTATCCTTGGCTTTGCCCTTACTCTCTATCCAAACTTTATCCATGCTCTGCTCCCTACCCGTTTTTAGGTTACTCCACCAACAAATCAGCATACAAATGCTATCACATTGACACTTATCATGTCTATTATTCTCGACATGTTGAATTTATTCACAATCAATTTCCATACAAAGTATCACCACTCTCAGATTCTTCTCTCCCCACTGTTAATGAGTTTTTTACACTTCCGCCATTACCCTCAGACCATTCTAGACCAAACACCATTCCTACACCCAACCCCACTCACAACACTTCTATTCTGCCCCTCCACTCACTCATCCCATCATTATTCCTAACGAACCAGTTTCTCCAGTTGATCCTAGCTCATCAAGCTTACCTCAATCACCAGCTCAGTCACCATCTCGGTCAGAACCTCTGTCACCACCTCAATCACCTCTCCCTGATCCCCCTTCACTAACGTCATCACCATCAACGACACCTACTCGTCCCGCTCGCCAACGACGACTAAACCCAAAATATTTTAATCCCACCTACATTAACTCCACCACTGTGCATCCCATTCCCACTACCTTAGAACCCACCACCGCTACTCAGGCCTTCAAGGACCCATTATGGTGTCAAGCAATGGAAGATGAATACAACACATTAATCCACAATGCTACATGGGAACTTGTTCTACCCAACACTCATCAACTAATCGGTTGCAAGTGGGTTTTTTCGCATCAAGAGAAATCCAGATGGTACTATAGCTAAATACAAGGCATGACTTGTGGCTAAAGGGTTTCTTCAACAATATGGCAAAGATTATTTTGACACCTTCAGCCCTGTAACCAAACCAATTACAATACGCACTGTTCTCTCCATTTCTCTCTCAAATGACTGGCCTCTGAGACAACTGGATGTCAAGAACGCGTTTCTTCATGGTACATTACAAGAAGAGGTATACATGGTCCAACCCCCGGGGTTCATTCATTTTGAATATCCAAACCACATCTGCAAGATAAAAAAAATCACTGTACGGTCTCAAACAAGCACCACGTGCGTGGTATCTAGCTCTCACTTCCTTTCTTCTTGGAAGTGGATTTCGTAAATCCCAAGTTGATGCCTCGTTGACTATCTATAATCGTGATGGCATAATTTGTTATTTCTTGGTTTATGTTGATGAAATTGATTTGACAAGAAATAACCCTTCTTTCATAGCTAAGTTTGTTGACATGCTTGCAAACAGATTCTCCATCAAAGATCTTGGTTCACTTAGTCACTTTTTGGGGGTTGAAATTATTCCAACCAAGTCTGGTCTCCTCTTATCACAACATACTCACATCTGGGACATCTTAACTCACTTCAAAATGGATGGTGCCAAGGAAGTTACAACTCCTTTAAGCCCATCAATTATTCTTACTGAAGATGATGGAGCTCCCAAAGTTGATCCAACTCCATATTGCAAGCTTGTTGGCACACTCCAATATCTTGCAGTCAACAAACTATCATTTGCAGGCAACAAACTATCATAGTTTATGCACTCCAATTATTCTTACTCGCCCTGGCATCTCATTTGCAGTCAACAAACTATCATAGTTTATGCACTCGCCCTCCGAAACTCATTGGCAGGCTCTCAAACGCATTCTTTGCTACTTAAAAGGAACCATCTACCATGGTCTGTTCCTGCACCGACATACTTCCTTGGGACTCACTGCCTTCTTGAATTCTGATTATGGGGTGGCGTATTCACAAAAGGACGCTCTACAACAGCCTATCTTGTCTATCTTTGCAAGAATATTATCTCATGGCGGTCCTGTCGTCAAAAGTCAGTCTCAAGGTCTTCCACAGAAGCCGAATATAAAGCTCTAGCAAATGTTGCAACTGAACTATCATGGGTTAAAAATCTCCTTACTGAACTTGGTGTTCCAGTTTCACATGCTCCAACCCTTCATTGTGACAACACAAGTGCTACCTATCTTTGTGCCAATCCCGTTTACCATTCGCGTATGAAACATGTTGCCTTGGATTACCACTTTGTTAGAAAACAAGTTGTTGTCGGTACTCTTGAAGTTCATCACATTCACACATTAGACCAGCCTGCTGATGCTCTCACCAAATCACTGGGACAGATTCCTTTTCTGAAGCTAAGGTCCAAGATTGGAGTCACTGACGGATCCTCCATCTTGCGGGGGCGTATCAAGGAGATACAATAAATGTACTCATCTACAGCTGTATATATCTTTGTTTATAATTAGATAGTATCTATTCTATGTATAGCTCCTTAATTTATAACCTTCCTATTGCACCAAGGTCTATTTATGTACCTCTTTATTGTGAATACTACATACGATTCATCAGCCTATTTTACAGATTTATTAACAAAAACCAACAGTGACAAAAGTAACACTTTTGATGTGGTTGGGATGTAAGTATACCAATAAGCTTTAGAACGAGTCGTGCAAGTCATTTTGAAAGAGAATTTGACTGCTTTGCCTTTGATGAAAGCATAATTTGACACAATTTGTTTGCTAACTGATGTATTTAGGTTGGTCGATCATACTATGCTCAAATAAAAGAGTTCAACTTTTGTAACATTCTATTTGTTTAAAACATTACTTAGTTAAAGTATTAAATTATTTAACTTGCCATCAATTTTCATTAAACGAATAAAGCAACACATTTAAGATTCTCACGTTACAATAATTATTAATATATTAACTAAAAAGAAAAAAAAAAAAAAAAACCTGAAAATATTCTCTTTCATAAACTGAATTTGTTTTCCCCACGTAGGCTCATGTGATAGATTTGTAGCTTTATCCGACCACTCCAATTATTTTGTTTTTTAAACCCTTATTTACCTTATTATATATTCAGAGAATACAATGTTTTATATTGTAATAGGTACACAATTTTAATTTTTAATAAAAGTTCATTAAGTTTATAACTTTATCTATTTCCATTAACATTTATAGAATACATCGGCAATGTTTTTAATCTATCCTACTACAAATATCTAAACATTTATTAATTTTTAATTAATTTATATATTAAATTCAAAATTGATTATTTTAATCAGATGTTGAATAATTCATTAAATCAATGTCACACATCAAAATCCATGAACTACAACCGTTGAAATTTCCAGCTTTTTATAGTAAAAAACATATTGATTGTTACTACATAAACTTTATATTATTATATAACAAATAAAACAACTTTTATAGTACGAATATTTAATGAAATAAAAAAGATAAATCTTACTTTTTAGACATTTTGATTAAAAAGTTCTACCATAAACAAAAATAGATTTAAAAAAATAATTAAATAAATTGAAAGAATGAGATACGTGGAGAGGGAAGCACATGAAGGAACCTCATCTGTTCCAGTAGCCACTCACGTAAACATGTGATCCCTTTGGATTGTCTTGCCCCTCTCATCATGTTGGGTATCGTATTAGATCCATAACAATAATAATAATAGTATTAATATTATTAATAATAATTTAACAATAATAAAAAAAACAAAAACAATAATAACTATAATAATACTATATTGATGTCGATTACACAAATAGATTTAAATGCATAACCTACAACATGTAATACTAACGAATAATTTAGACATTTAAAATATTAACTTCTACTAATATAATATCATATAAATAAATCATTATGTAGATTACAATATCTTGCATATAAAAATCAAAAGTTATATGTAATAAATAAATACTCTCCAATGAGAGCAACAAAGTGGGTCCTATAAATAGACAATGAATGGAATTCATACCTTTGCCAATTGAAAGGTTGCAAAATTCACCCACCTTCGAAAATGGCCCTTCCCAACATTTCTTCCCCCATCAACAAACCCCCCCTTCCTATAATACTACCCAACAAGAATAGTAGAGAGAAAGAAAAAAGTATTTCTACACAAAAAAATAAGATGAGTTCCAAAGGCCATGTAAATATTAGTGTCACAACAATTCCATCACCAAGAGGTGGCAAAGAAGATGTGGGTGGCGGCAATAGTGGTGGTGGTGGCGGCGGCAATGGTGGGTCGACCAACTCTCCGAGAGGACAACTGTGTTTGTGTTCACCAACGACACATCAAGGATCTTTCAGATGCAAGTTTCATCGACAAGGGTCTACAACTAGTGGATGGTTCAGTAGGTCCAAATCCATGCCACCGGCTCGAAATGATAATACCAACAATGCCTCCAATTTCTCTCCTAAATCAGTCGAATCTACATAATCTTGATATCATGTTTGTAACAGGTTTAATTTTTACTTGTAATCTCTTATACTATGATTGAATAAATCATTTTGTTACACGTTTCTTGTATTGAAATTAGCACTCATATCATTGTTAGTTTTTCTCATTTCCAACCATATGTGACCATACATACATTTTTGTCTTTTATGAAATATTGGTCAAATCATATCTCAATCATATGAGTTATCCTTTGGTATAAGATCATCACAAAAAACAATAACGATACCATACCATCTTAAAATCATTTTAAATAATATTTTGAAAAAAAGTTGAATAACATATGATTTAACTATTAAAATTTAATGAAAAATCTCCATAAAAGTCTTATTATTTTGAAAAAAATAACGATTAAGTCCTAAATTTTATTTTTTTTTAATAGAAAACCCCAAAAAAAAACAGCTAATTTATTCATTTTAGTCTATTTTGACTTGTTCAACAGATCACATGACCAAATCGTTATTTTTCCTAAAATAACTGAACTTTTCTACAAATTTCCTCAAAATTTGTATATAATATATAAACATATATTTCTGTATTTTTAAGTATTTTTACATATTTTTATATATTTTTTTTACGTATTTATTTTTTAAAAAGTTTTTTTATATAGTTTTTTTTACGGTTTTTATGTATTTTAAATGTATAAACATATTTTTTTTATGTATTTATATGAATTTTACATATATTTATGTATTTTGGTATATATTTCATGTATTTATGTATTTTTAAAAAAAAATATATATAGTTTTTTTACATATTTTTATTTATTTTGAATGTATAAAGATATTTTTGTACGTATTTAGATGTATTTTTAAGTACTTTTAAGTAATTAGTTTTATGTATTTTGGTATATTGTTTTTACGTATTTATATATATTTTTTACTTCAAATTTCATTGTAAACTAATTGTTAGACTTTGTAAATGAAAAAAAAAAACACACGACTACTTCAAAACAAACATTGTTAAAAAACGATACTTAACAATCAACGCCATTTTTGTAGATAAGTTTTTCCATTTTTTTCTTGAATTGAGTTTGTAGATGAATATAGTTTATGAATATCTTTGTCTCTAATAAAAATATTAGTAAACTTTGTTCATCTACAAACTGAATTCAAGAAAAAAATTGAAGGATTTACCTGCAAAAATAGCGTTGATTGCTATTGATCGTCTTTGAAAAATATTTGTTTTGAAGAATCTAGTGTTTTTTTCTTCATTTACAATGTCTAATAGTTAGCTTACAATGAAACTTAAAGTAAAAAAAACAAAATACACAAATACTTAAAAAATATATATAAATACATAAAAAATACTTAAAACATACATTAATACGTGAAAAAATATACAAAAACACATTAAAGTATGTAAAAATACTTAAAAAATACGTAAAAAATAATGTTATACATTTAAAATACATAAAAAAGAACTTTAAAATACATAAATACATAAACAATATATAAAAATACTTAAAATACATATAAATACATCAAGATACGTTTATACATTATATATAAAACTTAAGAAAATCTATGGAAAAATCTCATTATTTTGAGAAAAATTAACGATTTAATCTTATAACCTGCTAAACAGGTCAAAAATTGGCTAAATTGAAGAATTTTGTCAGTTTCTTAGGTTTTTCTATTTAAAAAATAAAATTTGAAACTTAATAGTTAATTTAACCATCACATACTTTTAAATTTTGTTTTTAAATTATTGAAAAAGATATATCACTGCCCATTCAAACACACCCACATGATATTACTAGATACATTTAAATTTTATTTATAGTATATTAGTCTATTAGACACTTTGATTTCTAACTAAAAATCGGTACCAAAGTCTCAATAAAAACGTCAATAATCATTTCTTATATTTGTTTTCTTCATGTTTTCAAATAAATTTCAAGTGGTTTAACGGATTACACAATACATATTATGTGATCAATATTGAAAGGTCAGCTATAAATTATCAAACCCGTAATTTGTTTTTTCTTTTTTTTTTTAGTTGATGAAGTCTTATGGCAACTTGATTGTTTGAATAATACTTAATGGACCACAATTGTCCCTTTCAGGCATAACACTATCAAACAGCATGTTTGAGCATAAATCAAATAATTATAAAAGACAAATATATTATTTTGTTGACTACAGATTTGTGCATTACATCTTACATTGGTTAATGTATTTTGTAGCTTGCTTTCCTAGTTATTGTATCATCTTAAAAACTGTTTCTAACATTAAAAAAAATACCATTAAATCTTAAAACAAATAGTAATAAATATTGTTAGTTACTTTTTTGGAAGAAAAAAATTTAATGAAAAAGAAGGTTAATATTATTGAAGATTATACGAATAAAATTAACTTATAGTAATAATATAATTTCATCAAATGAAGATATAGAAAAACAAAATACACCCCTTTCCTTATAAAATGAATACCATCATAGTAGAATTAAAGGGAAAATGATTTGCCAGGGTAATCATCTTTATCGTTTTGTTTACATTTAGATAATTTCTTTATTTTTGTACACATTTGACCATTTAACTTGTTATATGTGTTCACATATTGCCATTGTCACCAGCTATAGCAGGTGACAATGGTAATATGTGAACAAATTAACAAGTTAAAAGGTTAAATATGTACAAAAAAAAGAAAGTTTCATAAATGTGAACAAAACGAAAAATTAATTACCCTGATAAGTCGTTTTCCCCACTTTTAATAGCGATTTTATTTTTCATATTTGTTTGTATTATTTTTTCAAACGTTATTTATAAATTATTCATAGTTTCCTAAATATTAATTAAATATTGGTCTATTTTAAACTTTACTTTTTAATTAATAAATTTATTTTTGTTTTGTGAAATATTTTATATAAACTCTTATAATTTTTTTCTTTTGTTTTTAAGCATATATAATATTTTTAAAGTAAATAGTATCTAACAATAAAATTAAATAAATTAAATATGTAACAATAAATATAGAGGGTCTTTTAAAAAAAGAAAAAGAAAATATTACCTAGCAAATAAAAAACAAATAAAAAATCTATATAATGTAAATATTTTAAAATTATTCAAACTCTTTAATACTTTTTAATTAGAAGTTTATAAAATTTTAATTTTTTTAATACAACGTTTTAAACTAGTAAATAATGAAAGTATGTTAAAATGATATAAAAAAATATTAAATTGTTATATACAATTTGTGAAACACTTTAAAAATGTTGTAAAAGAAAGTTTAGAAATAAATGTATGAAAGTTATAAAAAAACTGTATGAAAATGTAAAAAAACAAAAAAAAAAGTTTAAAACTTATAAGAAAATTTTAAAACATTTATAAAATATTTGGTTTACAAGCACTTGTATTAAAATTATATGAAAATATAAAAAATGTTTTTTAAAAAAAATTCTAAACAAAGTTTAAAACATTGTATTAGAAAAACCTATAGGAAAAATATCATAAAAATGTTGTAAGAAATTATAAAAATTCTTAAGAAATTTATATAAAAAAAAATTGTTCACATTTAGACAACTTTCTTTTTTTGTACACATTTGACCATTTAATTTGTTAAATGTGTTCACATATTACCATTGTCACCTACTATAGTAGGTGACAATGATAATATGTGAACACATTTAACAAGTTAAATTGTCAAATGTAGTAGGTGACAATGATAATATGTGAACACATTTAACAAGTTAAATTGTCAAATGTGTACAAAAAAAAATGAAGTTACCTAAGCGTGAACAAGACGAAAAGATAATTACCCTCTCAAGTCATTTTTCCTAGAATTAAACCATATTTCGTAAAAAATGCTCAATTACATTTCTTTATTGCAAACGAATATAATGTTCATTTTGCTGTAATGTTTCATTTCATTTTTTTATTACTTAATATCAAACAATATACCATGGTTATACAAAAAATGCCATCAATTGTTATTATTATTATTTTTTGTTTTTTCACTCGAAAGTATTTTAAAAATGGAAGAGACATTTCATTAAAAATATAAGCACAAGGTATTTACAAACAAATGATTGGAGCAAGGTTGTTAAGATGAGGATCTTATGTAGGATCGTTTTCAAGTTTGTAAGATCATGATCAAGATCCTAAGATCCCACAAAAAATGACATAAAAAGTAATTGATCATATAGCAAACTTTTTTCCATATTTCATGGTTAAATAACTCAAAAAGGTAAATGATTATGTCGTAGCTTTGTGGCATGGTGAAATAGCTTAAATGAGTATTAACACTGATCATTTATTATACAACAATATTAACTCACAACATTCATGTTAATTTTTTTAATTCTTTTAACACGTAATTTTCTTTAACTATAAGAAAGAAATCAATAACAATTTCAACTTTAAAATCTCAATTAAAAACCATAATTTCTCAAGCTCTCAAAGAAAAAGTATTGAGTAGTAATTTTTTTTTGAAAAAGGTTCACCTTTATTATTGAGCTGAACTATTTAAGGAATAAATTAATAACAATCTGAAGCTAAATCTTAGATTCTACAATCTGTGAGGGTAAAACGTAAAAGGATAAAAATAATTTTAGGGTTGTTGGTCATTTACAGTTGAAAAAACAATACAAGAATGATGTTATTCTCGATTGACCTTTGGGTAAGGAGACCGGATCAACCAGTAAATGGGTAAAGATTATAAAAATCATATTAAAATTTGGAAATTTTCATGGAGTGGTAGAATCGGATAAGATCTCAATCCCGATCCTACAATATTGTCAGCGATCTTACATACAAAACGATCATGTTACGATCCAACAAAGTTTTCATAAGTAGGATCACCTATGATAAGATCCCGATATTAACAAACTTAAATTAGAGCATCAAACCTTTTATATTTCAAATTTTGATTTTTAAAATTTATACCATGCTATTAAATAATGTTTACCTTGTATAATCCTAAGTATCTCTCGTAACTATCTATCATGTCTCTAGTTTACCATTTTCATGACTAGATCAATCA